TGTGTTTTTAAACAATTTAAAAAATTGTTTTAAATTCTTAAATAATAATTTAACAATTTAAATAATCATTTAAAAAATTGTTTTAAGAAATCTTGATTTAGAGATTGGAATACTTGAAATTCCTTATGAAGAACCTTGTTGTTGTTGGAATTCCACATCACAAAACTGTTAAATGTTGGAATTCCGTATGAGGAACCTTGAAGATGTTGGAATTCCGCATGACAAACCTTGTAGAAGTTGGAATTCCATATCAGGAACCTTATAGATGTTAGAATTCTACATGACAAATCTTGTAGATGTTAGAATTCCATATCAGGAACATTATAGAAGTTGAAATTCCATATGAAAAACCTTGTAGAAGTTGGAATTCCATATCAGGAACCATATAAAAATTGAAATCCCATATGAAAAACTTTGTAGAAGTTGGAATTCCATATGACGAGCCTTTCACAAGTTGGAATTCAGTGCAAAGAACCTTTTAAAAGTTAAATTCCATGAGACAGACGTTACAGAATTTGAAATTCCATATAAAGAACATCATGGATTTTGGAATTCCACATGAAGAGCCTTGTAGAATATGGATTTCCACAGGAAGAACCTTGTAGAAGTTGGAATTCTACACGAGGAACTTTGTAGAATGTGGAATTCCATATGAAGGACCTTGTAGAACGTGAAATTCCACTTGAGGAACCTTGTACAATTTGGAATTCCGCATGAGGAACCTTCTAGAATGTGAAATTCCACACGAGGAACCTTGTAGATGTTGGAATTCCACACGAGGAATCTTCTAGAATGTGGAATTCCACGCGAAGAACCTTGTAGATGTTGGAATTCCACACAAGGAACCTTCTAAAATATGGAATTCCACACGAAAAATTTTGTAGAAGTTGGAATTCCACATGAGAAATTTTGTAGAAGTTGGAATTCCACATGGGAGCCTCGTACAATTTGGAAATCCACACGAAGAACTCATGAAGTTTCGGAGTTCCATACTGGGCTTCACACAATTTACAACTGTAATTAAATTACATCTCACAGATTGGAATTCCATGAAATTCCAAAGGAATTAAAAGATTCAGACAATTGCAACTACAAAATTTCAATAATTTATTACTGAATCGTATAGTACCTTCGAATCAGACGTAGCAGGCAAAGAGACTGTTCTCAAAGAAGCTAAGATCGTCCATATATAATGATATATTTCAAAGCGAATTTTCGTTAAAAAATTACCGCAGAAGTTTGACAGTTTTATCTGTCCGTTGGAATGTTTGATTGACGACAAATTGGGATTGAGCGTGTGGCAAGTTGAAAAGGTGAAGGTGTACGTTTTGACCTGATTCTATCAGTGCATGCCTTGTACGTGGGCACAAAGGTATTTAACGTTAAAACAAACGATATCTAGCAATCGATTGTTTAGGCGTAACACATGTACCAGTCGATATTCGATACCGTGTCAATTGCGAAATTGTCCACTCTTTTACCGGCGTTCAATTTGTCGAAACCCAATTATATTCAGAACGTGTCGCCCGTTATTAGCTGAAAACAAACTTGATCTAAAAACAAATTCTGTCGTTAATTTTCATAAAAAAAAAATCTTAATTAATCGCGCTAGTCTTTCACGAGCGAACGAACGAATTTCGACGCTACCAAAGCTCACAAGGGACGAAAAGGAAGAAGGGAAAAAAGGAATTTAACGAGATTTCGTGGTTCACTTGCCACTGGATGATTCCTAAATTCGCGTCACGTTGTTTTTCGAGGAACGGGCGCAATTTGGATCGTTCGCGAGGAGGGAAACGACGTCGTCGAAATAACCCAGTTTTTTTTTCGTCAAGTGGTCTGTCCTCCAATTTGCTTCTCCTCGTGTACCTCCAGTGTTCTTAGCGGACCCTTCTCGCGTCGTAGGTGCTCGTTAATTCTGCTTGCTTAACGTGAACGAACACCGTCGAACCTCGCTATCGTTGGAGATTTAATTATAGACGGCAAAACGCACGCTACGTGTTCGAGAATCAACAGGGACGTCTTCCTTTAACAAATCGAACAAATCGAACGAGGTAATCAGAATCTGATGCGCGTCCTCTTCAGCTTTCGTTGTAATCTCCCTGTTATGTGATTAAAATCATTGACTGCTGTCTTCTGTACTTTGTACTTGTGTACTTGTGTAGGGTACTTTGTATTAGGATGTTTGTAATGTTGAAAGTTTCAGGTTGTTATTTTTGGTATTTTGGGTTTCAAGTTTGTGGATTGTCTAATGTGCAAATTGCTGAATTTTTGAGATTTTAAATCTTCTAAATTTTCCACTCTTTAAATTCACAAGATTCCAAATTTTTAGGTCTTTAAATTTCCGAGCCCCTAAATTTCCAACTCCCTAAATTTCCAACCCCTTAAATTTCCAGCCTCCTAAATTTGTAACTTTAAATTTCCAACCCCCTCAGTTTCCATCTCTCTAAATTTCCAGCCTCCTAAATTTGTAACTCTTTAAATTTCCAACTCCCTCAGTTTCCAACTCCCTAAATTTCCAACCCCCTAAATTTCCAACCCTCACAGTTTCCACAGTTTCCCCCACAGTTTCCCTAAATTTGCAACTCTCCAAATTTCCAACCCTCTCAGTTTCCAACTCCCTAAATTTCCAACCCCCTAAATTTCCAACTCCCCAAATTTCCAACTCCCTAAATTTCCATCTCCCCAAATTACCAAACCCCTAAATTTCCACCTCCCTAAATTCCCATCCCCCCATCTCCCCAAATCCTAAAACCCTAAACCCCTAAATATCCACTTCGTAAACTCCACCGAAGATCCATAGCAATTTGTCGACGAGGATCGACCAGGGTCAGCTTTAATAGCGCAAGGGTTAAAGGAAACAATGTTAGCAGAGAGGTTTGTTCGATAAAAGGACGTATCGTTGTTTGATCCTCGACGGAGTACCGTCGAGTCGCATAGGGGAAGAAGGAAACAGGAAATCGTGCTCGAAATGACTCGGTCATCGATAAATCCAATTTGATCGTAGCCCTTGGTGAATTACCCACGAGGAAACTCGTCAAGGGACCTCGTCGAGAGATTCGATTTCGCGGTAATGACTATACCCAGCATCGGTTGTCGTTACCGTGAAACTTTCACGATAAAACTGCCCCGAATCCGATTCGGAACGATTTTCCACCACCTGCTATTTGTTCCGCTCATTGTTTCGCGTTGGGGACCACTAATTCACCTAATTGTACCGCAAGCACCGAGGTAATTTCTCTTGAAAGTATCGTCAAGGGGATATTCATAAATGACTATGTAGATATTATTGTATAGGGTGTCTCACAATTAGTGTAGTCGGTACACAACTAGTTTCAGTCCCTGGAATGGTAGCTGACGTGATTCTGAATGAGGTTTGCCTTTGCAGAATTGGGGTTTGAAGCTTCATTTTTGAATTATTAAGGAAAAATGTGTACCATTCGGAGCGGGAGGATTACGCATGCGCAGACGCGAGAGCGACAGTTTCGAGTCTAGCGGCGCATGGTAATTCGGTGCGTGGTAATTCGAGGCGTGGTGATTCCATGCGTAGAAATTCAACGCGTGGTAATTCAATACGTAGCAATTCCACGCTGTAACTCCACGCGTGGTAATTCGACACGTGGTAATTCGACGCGTGGTAATTCGATGCGTGGTAATTCGGCACGTGGTAATTCGATGCGTGGTAATTCCACGCGTAGTAATTCAACACGTAGTAATTCCACGCGTGGTAATTCGACGCGTGGTAATTCGATGCGTGGTAACTCCACGCGTAGTAATTCAACGCGCGGTAATTCGACGCGTGGTATTTCAACGCGTGGTAATTCGATGCGTGGTATTTCAAC